GGAGGAGGAGGAGGTGGAGGTGGTGGGACCTGCTGTTGGCGGGAAGTCAGGCTGTTGGCGAGCATCCCGTGTTGTGAGTACCCTGATATTCTCCCCAATCCTCTGTCGAAGCTGTTAGCAAACTCTAATGGAGGTGGGAGAGGGTCTGCGTAGACAAACTCATCGTCCGCATCAACTGAGGGGGCAGGGGGAGGAAGAACCATCAGGCCAGTCCCAGTGCTCCCAGTAGTGTTCACTGTCTGCTGAGTACTGGTAGGTGGAGGAGAGGGAGGGGTGAGGGACAAAATATAGGCATCAGCTTGACTTTCCATCCTGAGAAAAGAGGGCCTGCGAGGCGGCTGAGACTGGGACGCTTGCTGAGCAGAGCTTTCAGCAGCAGCCTGCTCTGCCCTCCTCATGTAACCCTCTCTCTCTTTGTCCCTCTCTCTTTCTCTCGAAAGCTCCCTCTCCCTTTCCCTCGACCTCTCCCGCTCCCTCTCCTTGTAGGTTGGCTGATACGGCTGAGACTGGTAGTGGTGCGTGTGGACCGTTTTGTCCTCAGAGAAGCGAACTCTTAGCCCCTCGCGAGCCCCTCCTCCTTCTCGCTCCCTCTCTCCTCCACCGCCTTCCTCACTCCACACACTCCCAACTCCTCTGAGGATTCTGGGTGAGGGTGGACGGCCAACAGTGGGTGTGGTGGCGGCCAGAGATGACGAGGTGACCAGGTAGGAGGAGCTGGAGGACTGGGCGGTGGACGAAACCGGTTGAGAGGTGGCAGTAGACGAAGGAAAGACCATACTCGACATCTGGCGGGTGAAGTGGTGCTCTGTTCCCCTCCTTAACCTGCTGTCATCCCTCAGAGCACGCTCCCTGGCAGCCAGGGCGAGGCCTAGTGGTGATGTGGGGTCAAGAGCCTTTCCTGTTAGAGGGTGAATGAAGGTGGTGGTACTGGAGGGTGCTGGCTGCCTGCCCGCTGCTGTGTACAAGTCAGTAGGCACAGACTTAGGCTGATAGTCCAGGGCAGGTGAGGAGTACTCAGGTAGGCCAAAGGCTGGAGGCATACTGCGGGTGTGATGGATAAAGGTGTCCCCAGAGAACATGCCCTCGTCAATAGACTTGGACGGACGCAGCCGTGTTGATGAACTTTCAGCCTGTGTGCTAAGCTGTTGTTGTGACGCCTGAGTCCTTGTTACTCCTCCTATTCCATCACTTACTCCCCCAAGACTCACGTCCTCCTCAGCAGACATGAACAAGGAGGCACTCTTTCTGCGGGCTTCATGAAACCGTTCCCTGTCTCGGCGAGCTGCGCCAACAATGGCAGCCCCAAACTGGCTAGTAAAGTCCAGGTTTTCCTGGGCTCGCATAGAAGGCAAGGACGGAGGTGGCGGTGCTGGGATGGAAGGCGGGGCAGGGGGCTGTGGAGCCGGAGTGGAGGGTGGAGGACCATGGGGTGTTTTGGATTCATCTGTCTCCCCAGATGCAGGAGCGTCTGCCTCCACACTGCTGCCCTGGCTGCTGCGTCCACTGCTGCTGGTTGAAGGGGCCTTGACGATAATGGTAGGGATGGGTATGGAGCTTTTCTCCACTGAGCCTTTGCCCCCCAGTGTACCTTGGCCCATGCGCAGATCCTCTACCTTGGACTGCTTCACCAGGGGGCCCTTACCTCTCCGGGCCCCTCCTTTAGGACCGCTTACTCCAGCTCCAGCTGCACTGCGGTCTGTTCGCTGGGGTTGACTCTGGGTAGTCTGTTGTTGCTGGGGCATTACAGTTGCAATGCTGGATGGGGGGACGGCAGTGCTGTAACCTCTCCTAAGACCTGCTGCCTTGGGCCCTCCACCAGCCCCTATGCCAGCTCCAACAGGCTCCCCAGTATAGGCAACCTTCCGCGAAGCAGTCCTGCTTTGAGCGGTATGGGCAGCTGCATGTGCATACGAAGTTGTGTGGTCCACCGCTCCACCACTGGTGCCAGTGCTGGGACCACCTGCCCTCTCTCTGCCCCCATGGGTGAAGTGCACTGACTGGGCATAGGGCTGGTAGTGCGCAGAGGTCGATGTGGACTGGGACATGGAGACAGAGGGCTGCTGGGATGTCTTAGCTCTCCAACCTAGTGGTGGAGCAGAGGAGAATGGAGGGTCTGGTGGAGCTGTGGTGGGAGGAGGGGGGATGTCATCTGGGCCAGGCACCGAAAGACTGCGAGCAAACTTCACGGCTGGAGGATGCAGGAACTGCTTCTCCTCCTCAGGCACTCCTGCAGTACAGCATTCACAAATGAAGAAAAAACAAATTGGGATGAGATAGGGATTTACAGATGGCACAGATGGTATAGAGTTAGAGTAAGAGAGGCTGATGAACAAGAAAAGAAGAAAAGTTTTGGAGGCGAATAAGAGTAGAGAGAAAATGGAGCCAGAAAAAGAAAAGCTGACGGTAATCTATGAGAGTGTCTGTCTAAATCTGCCTGCCCGTCTACCTGTCAGCGAGTCTGTCCTCAATTCTTATGTCCGTTAGTAGGTAAGTCAGTTAGCGCTATATATTCCACAAACAAGTAGCAACTGGGCAGCATCACAGAGCAGCAATTGTGTTGGTCACCAGAGGGAGAGTTAGCAAAGCCTTAGTAAGCAACAAACCAGAAAATAAGCCATCGGAATAAAACAAGGAGATTAGTGTCACTACTGACTATAACAAATAGTAGTAGGGTGAGTATACGACAAACATCCTATGTTTTTATAAGAGGTGAGTGTATAACATACGATCAGATACAGGTAGAAAGCTCGCACATTTTTGGCCACAGACAAGACATTGTTGGCCACAGACAAACAGGTCAGCACAGTGGAGACCTTTACTGGTCCCGAGGACAGACAGACAGGCGGATGGGGGGGGCAGACAGAAAAAACAGACAGCCTCACCGATGGATTTCTGCCGCAGCATACCATGCGGTGGGCCGTGACCTGAAGTGTACTGGCCACGGTCGTAGCCGAGGCCCAACCCTGACGACATCACCCCCATCCCGGACTGATCCCCGTAGTTGGACTGAAACGGAAAAAAAGGGGAAACACGTTGGCGTGAACCATGAGACTTAATTGTACATAAGATGTTGGTGCAGACAGTACCATGTTTCAAATCTTTGGACATTTGCTCCACACCAATGAAAAAAAAAAGCCTCTTGTTTTGGTTTATGTGTTGTACATAGCAGGTTAGCTCATAACACCTAACTCAAGTGTTTATACATGCAAATGTATGGGTCTCAGTCAGTGGGGATTTTTTACTTTTCAGACTTTTTGATGTAGGAATGAGGGAAAATTTTAAAGTGCAACTTTTTAATTTAACTGATTTCCAGTCTAGGTCCAGTCTGTAACATTAAGAAAGATCTATAGGCAGAAAAGCTGCCATGTTGAACTGCCATGTTTCTACACATGGACAAACCAAGCACTGCCTCTAGATAGGGCTATTCGCATTTTTTGCGGCCACTAAAGTTTCTCCTTTGTGCTTGGAAAGGGAGGGTGAAGTGAGGGAGTTGTAATCTGCTAGATGCCACTTAACCTACACACTTTAAATTTATGTTACATATTTTTTGCTGTCACAAACAGATCTCAGGACACATGTAAATATACTGTCAGCATCTTTCACAATACACACCTCATTTCCATAGAAACTTCGCCCCCTATCTCTTTTTGGCCCCTGTGCCCGTGTCCCTGGCGCCTCATTGGTGCTGATTGTCTGCTGAGCTGCTGCAAGAATTTCATCTAGTTTATCTGAGAGAAAAAAAGAGACAGAAAGAGAGACACAAAGGAAGAGAGAAAGAGACACACGACAATAAAACAGAAAAATGGACAGCAACAGAATGAAAGAAACAACGTGTGGAAAGGGACACACTTGATGAAGGTGGGTGAGAAAGAGAGGAAGAAATTCAGCAAACATCAACTGACAAACATGAGCTCTCTTACTCAAAGCCATCTGATAGACTGTCCTCTTCTTCTCTGTAACTTGTGAGGATTCGAATTCTAGGAGAAAAGAAACCCAGAGTAGGCCCAATAAGTGACTAAGCGGTTAGTGCCAAGTCATTTTGGACAGACATAAATACAATGCCTTAAGCGAGAGTGTACCAGAGCATACCTGATTTTTTTTTCCAAGGGGTAGCAGCTGGAAGGAGGACAAAAGGAGACTTAAGTTTTGGCAGGAGTGAAAGTGCGATAGTGTTGTTACAGTGAATACTAATCATATTCCCCGGAGCCTGACAAACTGAGTCACCTCGCCAGGCTTTTCGATCTTCGATGTAAAAGAACGCACATCACACCCACGCTTGAAGACTGTACTGTGCACACTTATGTTACAGTAAATATGCTTCACTCACATACAGTATGCTGCTTGCTGTTACTCTCTCTAACACTCTTGAATTAACACACACACACACATGCACAAATGTGGAATTAGTCTGAGGCTGATTCCCACCTCTCTCCACTGTTAAATGGTTAAGATCCCGCCAGCAGTGAAGTGAGGACAAAGGAGACAAAGAAAAGACAGAGTTAGTGGTTAAACCAGTGAACAGTAAAGGGACAAGTCCATAGGGGAGTAAAGAGGAGGAACAAAAAATGACCCTTTAGTGTTTGCATCCATTGGTGTGAGTGAGCTTGTGTGTGTGGACTGAATAGGGATAGGGTTATCTGCCATACTTATACTCAAGCTGTTTATTTAATATATTTCATGTGTAGTTTATTGAGCTTAATCAAACAGATATTACATTTTAATGTCCGATGGTTAAACCAAGCATGAAAGGGTTTTGAACTTTCATTTCATCTCTTACTTTCAACCGCACTGCACAAAAATAAGCCACAGTTTTTGTTGAAAACACGTGTCCCAACATGTTTTTACAACAGTTGCATGGAATTAGTGTTGAGAAAAACAACAATTTGTGGACTTAAATGCACTGCAGGATCATTTCCATTTTAATGTCCTTGTAATCTTGCAGTATGACTTCTAGGTGAACTGGGACACTGCACCAATCACAGAGGTGAGATAGTTTAATAGGCGTCACAGCTAAATGAATTCTAATGCATTAGAATAAGCATATGGCGGGGCCTGACATAGCTGCATCACACATTGTGCTCCTCTCACCTTGATCCAGAAGGAGGCAAAAACAAAGATCTAAGTTATAAGGTGTCTGACTGCAACTTAAGCACCCACATTTCAAGGAAGTTGAGATATATATTGATAAATGCGCTTTATATTTAGTCAAACTGACTATAATTAAAAGATTTAGCATTATGTATTGTGTATAGCCCGGCTGTTTCAAAGTTATTGCCATTTTTTCTCAAAATAACAACTGCATTGTATTTAAAAAAATGGCTTCCTTTTGCAGAGGATGCAGCGTTTTGATTCATTTGTGGTGGAAGAAGAGCACCTTCATGGTTATTTTTATAAAGCAATGCAGCAGATCTTTCCTACCAATTTCAAGACAGTATTGCAAAATGTAAAATGCTTCAATTCGTTCGTCAATGTCTCAAAATCAATCTGGTCATTGACTTATGTATACGTACTGTAGCACCTTTACGTTTGTAGGAGTGATAACTCTAAGTTAATGAGATCATGCATACAGTATCACTGCATACATACAGTGCTAGAGGTGAGATAATAGTGTGAGCGCTGGTGGTGGTAGGGATGTGGGTTGGGGGTTCAGGAAACTGGTACCTGTTTCAGACTGGGTGCTCATGCTTGGTGCTGGTCAGGTGAGGTCACACCACAGAGAGAGGGCAGGTGAGGAGAGAAGATGGGGGTGAGGAATAAAGCAAAGGGCTGACGTCTATACTCGGGATAAACTTGAGTCTGATCCAGACTTACAGCAGCGGGGCAGGACTCATTGTAGTTGCTGTTGTTCACCGGTTTGGTCAAGTTAAAGTAATTAAGTTTGTTAGAGAAACTAGATCTGAGACCAGCTGATGAAGCCCTGCAGATTCCCCTCTCCTCCAGCAGCTCCACATGTCATCAGCTCTCATACATCCTCATTTGCTCACTCGGCATGCTCAGAACCAGACAGCGGCCACCACAAACACCATAAATGTCTAGAAGATATAACCCAATCACCAATAAAACACTGGCCAACGTTCTGATCTGCAAATGGGGGCGTTGACCCTCACCATGCACTCTCCTCCCACTGTTTTGCCTCAAATAGAGATGGCATAAGCATAGCCACACATAATGCTGTTACTATAGCAACAGACCTGGAACAAAGTTGTTTTTTTTTTCGTTTTTTTTTCTCAAAAATTACTCATCTCAATAATTTTTATCCCGGGTGTGATTTCTTCCAAATGAATCAAAGACGTTTTCAAAAGGATAAAATATATCAACAAACAATATATAGATACATATTTTGCAATTTGCTCGCTAATACACAAAGACCAAACACTTTGCAATGATGTTTGTGGCACCCGGAAAACTCTTCTCAGGTGACGCCCATTCCCCTGCAGTGTTACCCTGGCAACAAATACTTGCTAAGTGTGTGTGAGTGTGTGTGTTGAGCAGAAGGGCTGGTAGACTGCTCTGTGGGCGCTGGGGTTAAAGCTGTGGGCGGGCCAGGGAGCAGTGGGGGTTGCAGGGGGGTAAGAGGTAAGAGAGGCGGGCAGTGAGAGAGGGATCACAGGGTGGATGGCGACACTTTTTCTGGGTGGGGTTACCTGTAATGGGGGTGCTGGAAGTGACAGTGTGGAACCTCTGAAAGAACAGTGAAATGCATTGAGACCGTCATCCACGGCGTATGTTCTTTTTTCTTTCCCTCTCTTTTCTGTCACCGAGTAACTACACTATCTCTCTCTCTCTACTTTCTTGCTGTCTAAATTTAGCCCTAGCTCAACTCACCTTCACACTTTAAGCATCTTTAGCAACCCCCAACACTCTGGTTTCACACTGTTTCTATCATTCCCCATTCCCGACCTCAATCTGTTTCTCCCAGTAATTGTTTTTTCTCCTCCTCTTCAACTTTTTTGTCTTCATCTCCCTGTCCGTCTGTTTCTCTTTTAACCCCCTCAAAAGTTTATCCAAGGCAATTCCTTACCCATCTCCTCCAGTTCTGAAGTCATGGACTTGGATCGTAGGGCGATAGCCGGAGTGCTCAGCCTCTTACTTTGCTGGGGGACTGGAGGGAACAGACAGAGACAGCAGTGGTCAGTCAAGTTGAATAAGGTTCAGTCACCTCCAGCATTCACCCACAGTAGCACCCCAGGGTGCAGTAGATAGACCATTACTTTTCTTCCTCGAACCCTCCTCCATGTCGGGGTTGCGGGTCACCATGACAACCTTGACCATGAGGCTGTTGCCACCTTGTCGGATCATGTTGACGACCTGTCGGTGACCAACCTTCACCACATTCTGACCGTTGACCTGGGACAGAGGAGGACAAACAGCTATTGAGCTTAATAAATTCATGCTTCATTCTTATGCATCGTTTATTTTAATAAAGCAGTTGGAAGTGAAAACTGACAGTAAAAGATACAGGTAAGTGTAGTTCAGGGTTCTTGGGCATTCAGATCAGCCTAACTTTATTCATAAAAACAAATGTCACAGTGTATGAAATAATAGTGAATTTTGAAATCATGTGCTTTACTGAAATATATAGTTGTTACATAAGTGAGTATCTCATTTCCATTACATTTGGTGGAAAGTGAGGCATTGGGCCACGGAAAACAACATCTTTGTGGATCCAGGGGTAAATTCAGAAGTTTTATAAAATAAAACATTCTGAAAAGAAAATCCTGTTTCAGATCCAGATCCAAACTTTTGATAACTTTGTAGCTCTTCATAGTTTCAGAAACCTCTACCGAACATATTCCAGTGGTTTCAATCCCAACCCATAATGCAGTGGCAAATCATGGCAGTACTTCTATTAGGAAATCCCCCATCCTGAGACCGGCTCTCCAGGCGACGCCTCCCTCGTCCACTGACTCCAGGTACTGTAGAGCAGGGAAGGCCGGGGTGGGAGTGAACTCCTCGATTGGAGTCTGAGCTGGAGAGACCAGATGTGATACAGCATGTTAACACATCTAAATCTATGAACTCGATTGCAGTGCAGGGTATTTATTTCACATTTCTTACCTTTGGCCCCTCTCAGCACAAAGCCGAAACCCTCACTGTCTTTTTTCTGCAGAAGCACCGTCTTCTCCTTGATTATATAGTCACTAGCAGAGAGGAGACAGAGGAGAGAGACAAGAAGAGAAAATGTTAGACATAACACAAGACAGAAATGAAAGACTAGGAGGATATCCGCTGTACATCCACATCTGCATTTACCCTCTGCTTTAATCAATGGAGATGATGGGTGGAAAGTCAAGTTTTAAAAATCCATATAGCACAACATTTACCATTCGGGTTTTCCCTTCCCCTACTACACCACTCCTCTTCTCTGCTGTGTGCTTCCTACTTCCTATGTCCCCCTCTGATTTTAGATTAGTAGTAATATTAAAGTGTCCCATGTTCCAAACGTTGTTATTTTTCTGAAATTGAAACAAAAAAACTTCAGCATGGTAAAATGTATGAAACAGATCATTGGTTGTAAAAATATTGCAGCTTCAGCTATCAGTCTTCAAGATTCTTCATCAGTCAAACTCCAAACACCACTAATAGTAATTCATGCCACACTCCCTACAGTACAATGGTGACTTAGAACAGTGTTTTGCTATGCTTCACTATGCTGTATGTTTTTGACAGCGAGCCCAGAGCTGGTTTCTACCAGAACCTCACTGAAGAAGAGATGCTATATACAGTATGATGGCGCTGCTTGTTGCCTCAGCAACAGCTAGAACTGGACGCAGGAAAACTTGCTTGGGTAGGTCCACACCAGAGCCAAGACATGTAATAGTACGCTGGTAGTCACACTAACAGCAGAGAACAGGCACTGCATGCTCACATGTGGAGCCGGTATACTTGGTGTTCCCTCCCTTGCCACAAACAGATGGGAAATATGCAACCAGTGGTTGAATGGAGCTAAAGATATTTACAATACACTACCATTATGAGCTACTTGTACTTTACTTGAGCATTTTATGCTAATTTATAGCACCAATCAACTGAATTTCAGATTAAGCTTTTACACACACACACACAC